TATGAAAATGTATTCACCCAGTCGTTTACCTTGCAAGAAACTATGAAACAGTCATGGAACTGCAACAGCGGCCATCATGGGACAGTACGCCTCGGATGCGATTTCATTGGACAACCAAGAAACCTACTCAATCTCTCACTTCATGTGAAAAGAAGCCCGAATCCTTCTAAAGGGCCTCATACCGATCAGCAAAAATTGGCTCCATCTCGATTAGTAAGTCAGTCTCAATGTTAAAAAATTGTTAAAGTATGGGAGCACTGACACTCTTCAGCAACCACCATCAATACCATAATCAACCACCTTCCATAAAAATTCCCGAGAGGTTTTTCTGTCAATTTTTTTCGGCCTGGCTTTAGCCTGTCCCCCTGCCTGTGTGAAAATCCATCGCATGAATGCAATCTCCCTCGAACAAAAAAAAAGCAAAAACTGCAAGAGCCCCAAAAAATGCAAAATATTTTTGGGACAGGTAAGAAAATAGGATACAGAGAGAGAGAACAAAAAAAAAACTTGGAGCGTGAGACCGTTGCGTGAGTTGGGCCTATAGAAAATTTTCTCGGAAGGCTAACCAACCTTCTATGATGAATCGCTGGTGGTTTGAGTGAATGGTTCCTGCAGCCACTTCATTCCGTGTCAACGAGCTCTAATGATGTTCCAAAAAATGCTTCCCCCTCATTCCCATACCATTTGATGCACTGTCTTCAACCACAGGAGAATAAGCTAGTTCGGCTAGTGAGCCTGAGCAAGCGAAGCAATCAACTACAAATCTTGTGAGACAGCGAAAGAAAATTAATAATACATTATACACCGGAACGAAATGAGTTTATTGGCTTAGTTTATAGTGTAGAAAGAACTAGAAGCCACGGGTATTCCCTGGGTGTCTAGATCTTCTGGGCTGAAATCTAGTATTGAAACATTTTCCAAACATTTTCGCAGCCACGTCAGTCTCTTGACTGACAAGGCGAGCTAGAATAGCAGCAAAATCAGCCCGACAGCGAAAGTGTTTCGAAAAAACCTATAGATCATTCATTTTATGAGAGAGAGAGGTCCCTCACGGTGCAAAGACTTGAACTAACTTTGGAAAGAGCTGCAATTGTAAGCACGACTCCCCTTCTATTACCATTTACTGATGGCTTCAGGTGAAGGATTTTTTCGATGGTTGAGGAATCTATACCAGTATCATCCATAGGCTATTACTAGAAATATGGATTTCCTTCCAACTTCGAATGGCATATTGGAGGCATACTTGATTTCAAAACAGCAGTTCGGTTCTAGTTTCAGTCCCGACTATAGTCTGACTGTAATTCCACTGTGGTCTAAGCGACTATTCACATAACAAAATCCCAACCGGAACTGCGACTGAACTAAAACTGGAACTGAACTGAAACTGAACTGTGACTGGACTGCAGTTTTGAAATAAGTCGTAGTATGCTGTGCATCTAGGTTAATTTGAATCAACCTAAAAAAGCGCTGGAAGAAAGTTGACTGATTTCTTGTGCTTTTCAAGTAGCACCGTCTATATCGAATAGAACAGTGATCACCAAGGAGTTCGGGCAAAGGGCCCAATAAAGATCGAATAGAACGGGAAATGTAAAGAAGTTGACAGTGGCCGCTTTAGCATATAGAGAAGCGATGAATAGGATTCTCTAGGCGTTAGAAGGCACGAACAGTCATCATGAAGTCTTCAAGCCTAGTCCATATTAGTCAGGATTTGGGATCGCATACAGTGAAACGTCATGTTTGTAATATCTGCGAAAATTTTCAGGGAAGATAATCTCCATAATTTCAAGCTCTCCTGGGCGACGGAAGTTACCTACGAAGATTTGAACTCTGGCCGAAGGCTCTGAGGCAATTCACCTGCAATTGCAGGTAGCAAGCCACCTGAAACATCTAAAACTCGAGAGGCATCAAACTGCATGAAAATTTACACCGAAAACCATAACCGTCCTGTTCGGATGAAACCAACAGAAAATACAGTGCTGCATGGCGGCTTGGGTGGTACCTGGAGTCCTGAGAAGGGGACAAAAACGAGAGGCGAGGAGAGACAGACGTGGGCGACCTTGAGCATATTTCCCTGCAAGCCACGTCACAGACACACGCACACGCCGACAGACGGTCCATAATAACGAAGGGAGAGAGGAAAAATGGCCGCTTCCCCCCTCCAAGTACCTGGATGGGACCGGTGGTACATCTACTGAAGAATAAACCTTTTCTTCTCTCCCTCTCTTTTTCCCTCGTCATGCCGTTCGATGATTGGACGCGGATTTTTCTTCCCTCTCTTGCATTGGTGGATCGACCTGAGATGTCGGTTAGCTCTAAGCTTAGTCTTTTTTTTCTTCTTCTCTCCCTCTCTCTCTCTTGCTCTCTCCTGTGCCTTTTTCTTTCGCTCTCTCTGGAGGGCACAGACGAGGCTATATACCTATAGGCTTAGATTCTCTCCCCTTCGCTGCAGACAGCATCTCATTTGCATCCATTACAGCGTGCAATCCTTCTTGGGTGAGCCCAGTCGGGCTTCGACATCGCAGTTCTCTCTCCCTAGATTTCTCCCTAGTCCCTACTATCATGCTATCGATAGACCTAGGGTGTCCTGCATACTTCGAGGAAATCCCGAAATGAAGAAGGATTAGGCCCCCAAAATTCGGGGCCGGTACGTGCCTCAGGCAATTGGTGAAATCTACCAGTACAGTATGCCCAGGCGAACCAGAAATTCCGGCATTAAGTGAACAAGACTCATTACTTCAAATATAACGATATCGGAATTTGGCAGATATACGATACGGCAACATCACGATGCAAAGACTTATTGATTTGACATTTCTCGTATGTTGCGGTCGATATGAAGTGTTTCAAAAACGCCAAATGCTCAGATCTGCAGTCCACAGAAAACCATGGCCGCCTGAAAAATCTACCAGGATAGCAAAGTTCAACTTACATTTCATGGCATATTATGTGATAAGACATGGCTAAACACGATGGCAATGCGGCTCGTGGAATGTTCGGCATGATCTAAATCAAGGATTTATGACACAGAGAATGCAACAATTTTTTTCGATACGACTGAACCACCATCATCCATCACAAACTTCACTAATATATTCTCCGATAAAGGTAAGGATTGACACAACATGGCCGAGGAATCCCTCTCTGGCTTATGCCTCCAGTTCTCCGACACGAAGTTCGTCCCACATCCGTGCTCGTGTCATGTTGCAGCTGGGGGACGCACATCCACTTACCTAGCCAGGTATTCTTCGGTGGCGGTAATTCCCAAAGAACCAGGATTCTTAATCAAAGATGCGAGTTTTGATGATAATTGATGGACTACATACCTACACATCCAGGCCTAATTCATCTCATAAATGGGATCTGGTCAATGAGCCTGGATGACTGCCTGGTAGACGTAGCGACTTCTCGACTGAGAGGTTATGGAAGTTAGAAGCTAACTTTCCCCAGAATTTAAGGCCTTGAAGTACTTGAAGGCGCTCTAAAAATTGTCAGCCAAACTCTTAAGGGCTCTGCGTTTCACGCCAATGCCTGAAATCTCCAGGCAAATAGCTAACTAATGACAGTTCCGTAAACTTTTTCACAATATCCCGGCATATGCAGCGGAAACGACGGACTTTGCTGTCTGCAGTCTATGGCATGCGCATGCCTTATAAGACCTGCAAATCTTATGTCCTAAATATAAAACTAATTACTTATGCAAAGAAACGAATAATCTCGAATGCAAATAGGAAGAAAGAATTTCTTACACAAGGTGTTCTTTTTCTAGTGTGTACCCACACATAATCAGTAGCATGCATCCAAGCTGATCTTGTTTGATCATGTTCATTCCAGTTCAGATCACACGTCCATACAGTTAACTGGTCTTTGAACTGTGATCTGGTTCACAGATGACATTTCAGTAGAGCGCATGGCACGGTGCGAAGATAAACGGGTGTAAAGAAAAAAATCCTTAGAGCAAGAATCGTACTGTATAATGGTCATTTCCAAAACAATTTTCCATCCATATAACCCGGATTCACGTTCACGCATGAACTTCAAAACTGGCGTTCTCTCGCCGTTTGCCAAAGGGTCTCCGAGTCCGCGAAGTTTCATCCGTTCACTCGGGTAATCCCGGAGAAATGAATACCGCGTTTCCTTGGAAGTTTCGTTAATACTCTTTCGGCTTCAGTCGACTTATAGTCAACTTGAAATACGGCTATTCACTTCAATGGAAGTTCGCCTAGAGGTTCCTAGAGGAAGTTCGCCATGAAGCGCTCGATCCCAAGAGCAGTGGTTCTCAACACGTGTGTCGTCAGAAGGGCTCAGGTGCGCCGTGAGATTTGCGGCTTGCGAGGGAGAACGCACGAGAAAAACTCTTTTCGCCCAAATTTGTAGCCGTGAGACTTGAGCTCCCGTCCGACACCTCGTGGCACCTTCACTCAGCAGCTCCCCGCCCACCATCGGCATTGGCAGCCTCGTTTCTGCTGCCCAGTCCTCCTCCTCCCACCCCCATCCTTCCCCCTTGACTCTTGTGCCAAAATACACCACTATCTCTAGGGCTATGCGCCAGAAAAGGTTTAACCCTACACTGCATGGTGTGCCAGGTGTGGCACGCTCTTCCTTGCATCGAAACGTATTACAGTACAATGGAAAAACCAAAATGAAACGATAATTTTTTCATTATTTTTCTCATCAACCACATGGATAAATATGATCGTCTAAAATAATTTTGGTACATTAAAAAATATAATGCATTGTATGGTTAAGGTGATTCTAGGTGTGCTTCCAGTAAAAAAAAAAATTGAGAACCACTGCCCTGGAGTGCATGGAAGCACGCCAAGACGACTTGGCCAGGAAAGCATTTACCCAGGCACGGCAGGTCCCGCCGTTATCATATTGCCATAGGTCAGCTAGTTTCGCAGCTAGTTTCGTTACCGCATGCTCCATGGATGGCTAGCTAAGCCGAGGCCATTTCTAGGCTTTGCTAATTAAGCTCTAAAATTTCCGAGCGTCACTTGGAGTTAAGTAGCCCTAATGATACGTGGCCTCTTGACGCGTCGGCTCGAACTCTGACGGAGCCGCGATGATGGTAGAATGTGGTCGTGGATTAAGTTCCTCTGGTGACGAACATGGGGATCGACCTGAAGCAAAAAAACTATTGGACCGATTTCGATAAGATAACAGTGGACTTGTTCTGAAGGCAGCATGTGGCTTTTGGGGATTTCAAGTCCCATTTCGTACTGAAAAGTACTCATCCAACGTAACAACTTACCTATAGCGTCAAAAAGTGCGTAAAGAATCAAAACCGCTTATCTAAAGCAAATTAAGAGTCCGATTTTGACTTATACAAAAGTTAAAAACAAAGAACACCATTGGACTGGTCTTGCTCCAGTAGTGAGCAAAAGTTCTAACCTAGTAAGAAAAGTACAAAAAGTACATATTTAACAAGCGCGGACTCACCAACTCGTTCATTTAGAGCAACCGCAGAGGAATAATTAATAAGCTATTCAGAACTGAAATACAAGTCAGCAATACCATTTCACCCTCGATGGGTATCCCAAGGGATAACTTCAGAATAGCCCAGAAAAACGGGCGACGGGAACGCGAAAGGAGTGGGAGAAAATAAAGTGAAACAGGGAGCAACAATGCAGCACGTGCAACAAAAAAAGAGTCTCACCAATATGAGAACTTCGGGAGTTTGCTTTCCTGCCTGTTGCTGGGTACCACGTGTTTTCTTTGTTTTCCCCTCGTGTTTGGTCTTCGTTACATAGACAGCAACCAAGATATGAATTCTGGAGGGATGATTCCCCAACTGACGGTAGAAAAACAACATACTTTATGGAAACAAAAAAAAAACAATAATAATAAAAAAGGAAACGAGAACTATAGCTGACCTTTGATGAGGTTTCTTCCCAAATGAAGAACGGATCTAGTTCCTTTTCGCTATATCCAAGGCGATCTTCTTTCAGCCTCTATAAGAAATAAGATAAAATCGATTTTGAACATTGGGTATTACATAACAGCATTATGGAGTACTACACCGAACTTGTGAGGTGAGACATGGACTCGTCTTTGAAGTACTTAAGAACTTTCTCACATGCAATGGTTACATCTGTGTGAGACGCAATCAGCAAACATAAAACACGCAAGGACATCAGAGAAACCAGACAGCCAAAACCCCCACGGACAAGACAGAGTAAAAATCGTGAGGGATGATGCCCTTGGAAGTTAGGAAGCAAGAGGTAGGAGCGTGAGAACCGCCAGTGAAGACATAAATCATCGGCGGACGTATCTACAAAATACACCTTTCCACACCTTTCAACAGCAGAGAATGACATCGCTGACGTACAGATTACTGACTCGGCTACAATTTTCTTCGCGCGTTAGCTGCCTATTTATGAATGTAATAATGAGTTAGAAGAAGATTTATCCATGCGACTGACTCTTAAAGCCTGACTTTAGGGTGTCATCTAGGTAGTACGACGGTAATGCGGGTCATGAACATGTTTAAAACAGAAGGCAATCCTAAATGCAATGAAGCCTATCACTAACATGAAGATGCACATAAACATGAACACCTTCCCCAGAAAGTCGCCGAATGTAGGTTATCCTGATGTGTCCGACATGGAACTACACCAGTTTAGCTTTTTTCAGGCCAGTCAGAAATCAAGTTTCTTATTTATAACTGCAGATACCTGCATGAGGCTGTACATTAAAAAAAATATTAGACAACCGAGAGAAGCGAGGAAGAAGGGAAAAACCTCGGGTATCCTTATAATCAGTGATGATCCTTTCCAGTTCAAGTTCCGTTTCAAGCCGAAGATGAAAATGTGTGAGCAACCTCGTCTATTTTCTGCGGAGACAGTATCCCGCGAAACACATCAAAGCTCGTTGCCGATGCTCAATGCAGAAAAGCAAGTTTGCCGACTATTCCATCCCGACTGTTTTCTCCTTTTTCAAGTAATTGGTGAGATGCCATCTTGCACTGTCACATTAATTTTCAAGGAATTGGACGAAAACCTAATTAACTGCTCCAAAATACACGATATCTTCAACAATGCACCTCTCAGTCGATGCCCCACAGTGATTCAGCCGGACATCATGATAAATAAAAAAATTCCAGTTCTGCGAGAAGCCGGCATTTCTAGTAAAAAGAAAAAGCGGAAGGACGAGATAAAACGAGCACATGTTCCCATCCGAAACAGCACAGATCGTGATAAGGGGGTCTAATAAAAGTAAGAATGGTTTAATGGCGCCCAGGATATCCCTAGCTTGTTAATGGTCCTCCAGCAATAACGGAGACCGTGACCAGGTGTGTAGGAGCGGTGGAGATAAGGATGCAAGCAGCACAAACCAAACGCACCGTGGGAAGGGAGAGACCTTGCCAATATCCCAGCGGATCGGAGTGGATATGCATCTAGAAAAGATAATAATGGGGTGGGACATCCCCCATCATGCAGATCACGAACCCAATAGGCCAGCTTCCCAAGAGTTCTCCTCTCTCACAGACGAGAGGGTATTTTATGCATGAACGATGAATTTTTTCACCCTGCCAGAAAGGCAGTGTCTGTATTTTTGCAGTTTCCAATCTTCAAAGGAAATGAAATCCCTCAGGATTTCCTTTGAGGCGTAACGAGACAGAGATCGACCGCGGATATTGCCTCCTCTTGAAAAACGAAACCAATATAATGGAGCTCCACGTATTCCATGAGGGGAAGGGAGCTACATCATACAACGAAGAACCAATCACGATCAGTCAATTTTTTACACCCGGAGAAGCATTGAAGACAAAGAGCTTCAATATCACTTGGATTGGCCTCTTTTCAAGTAGTATCAATATATGCAGTTCGCAATCTCGTCTAAATTAGGTGGGCTGGTAAAAAAAAATTGCATATGGTAAGCAGCTCTTAGGCTTTTTCGTTTTCTGCTCGTGGAACGGGGAGGCGAAGAAAATAAGTTTCGCCAAAGTTTCCTCCCTTTTTCGCAGAAAACAATTTTTTTCCATGATGTTCGAGCGCTAATTTGTCTATTCGGTTAACATGAAGACGCTCCTGGTGAAGTTTCATAGGACGTGCAGGCGCCGAAATGTTCACTCGAATGCGAAACCGCATCTCGAACTGGTGCTGATATTTGGAGTTACCCACCGAGTGAGGTCAGGGTCAACCACCCAAGAAAGAAAACAATGGAGTCCATTTCTTTCGATACACAGAAAGAAGGCTGAAGCATAACAGAGAAAAGAAATGGTTGCGAAGGTGAAAGGCACGGGGGGGTTCCCCCCAGGGATCCCTCAAGATTCATAGGCGGAGAGAAAAATGAAGACAGCTCCAAGTTTTTATGAAGCTATACAAATTTTTGGCACATGAGCTTCTATTCACAGTTCACTCACGTAAGGGTTTCCATACGATAAATATTTTTCTTCACTTTTCCAGGTTTTCCAGTCATTTTTAGGATACTTCCCTGATCAAACTTGCGCTCTTGTACACGATTGCCAACTTCTCTGGGAATTTGTCGACTTCTTTTACTTCACAAGCGACGAGGACTCTATTTGGCCCATCAAAATTTGGGTAATCCCCCTAATTAATTTATTTTAAAACCACTTCCCTATTTCCTGAATGTCACAGTGTCTCTTGTCAGTTCACTAAGAATATATAGGAAAAAATAGCTACTTGTCAATTATTAGAGAGACTTAAGACAACTTAGGCTTGCGACGATACCCCAAGCAATGCGAGACTACTCAGGCTCACATGAAATTTCAGGGAAAGTGATGTTTATACAAGGAGTCCCTTTCAACTTAATATCGAAGCTCAGACCATTATATTGAAGGAGGATGTAATTGCAAGAGAGATGAGAGGAAGGCCTAATCCAACAGGGAACGGGGGTCGGATGAATGAGACAAAGATCCCATTCCGCCGAGCGACTCAAACGAATCCGACCAACTTCAGCGACCCGTGCATGAACGCAAGGCAGGTCTCAACGCAATCTTCTCGGGAGAAAGTTTCATTCCGCTATTTGTGCTCTCACTCGTTTTGCACTGCACAAACGTAGCCGGAATACAACTAAGATAAAGAGCTGATTCTCCTGTGAGACTGTGAGAACTGTACATGGCTAAACCATTTTTTTTTTCAAAGTCCACGAAATTGTAAAGCATTCCATGAGGTGCATAAAGTTTCTTGAAGATTCTTCATATAAAGTAGTAAGATTACAGTTTGGCCTGCAGAATTATTTGGCACTTTCATCGCCGTTCCAGCGATGTTACACTCTGAAAGTGGCGCACCGACACGGGTGCAGCAAAAATCATCCTTGGAGAACATTCATCATAAATCTCGTCATAACTCACGTTCATGGCTAGATGAGTACAAAACGTAGGTACGTGCATTACCCCTGAGTACTTCCTGACTTCTGAAGGTACGTGACCGGGAACTGGCGCTTCATTATCTGATTCCAAGGTCCGTCGGTCAAGGCCGCAGACCAAACGGTACAGCAAAAAATTCGCGCCGACAACGAAATTGGTACCGATAGACCAAACTTAGTTCACAGTGACTGTTCGTGCTCTGCTGAAACGGAACTACATATACTAATGCAAAATTTATTGGATCGATCACAAAAGGATATTCCACAATATGCTCGGCCAAGTTTGAACTGAGGCAAGTGTAGTTACTGCGTCTGAGACTTCCACACGTTTCAGGCCTTTTGTATATGACCCATGGGCCAAATAATTAAAGGTCTCTACAAATTGAAATGTACAAGACTTAGGAAATTCTCTCATACACATACGTTAAGAATTGTGAGCACATATGTTTTCTAAAGAAGGAAGCTAGACTTAAGGGCACAAAAATCGTTTTGGGAAACTTGTTCGGATAAATTCCATCTCAATTGCGCTGAAACTGTAAATTACACTCCTAAATGAGGACTTTCAACAACATACAGTGCAATTTAAATATATATATATATAATTTTATTTTAAGCATATTTTAATTTTAAGCATCGGAAAATTAATTAACAATAACCCTCTCCAAAATCCAACCCCAACCCCATATTTCCGCTGTAGTAAAGTTCTTATCCCCGAGAAGCTTTAGATATGAGTGTGAAAACAAAGACCCCACATGCAGACCCCCCACAAATATTATTCTTTCACCACTCACGTAAGAATTAAGCAGTTTCCTCGTCTCGGCAAGAAAAAGTTGAAGCCACATGAATTCATGAAATCTATTGAATGTCTTACGTATCACCGGGGGCACGGAAACTCAACGACAGAAATTCCCGCTGCCTCATGAGATGAAGTCTAATTTCATTTTGTCTTTCAAGTTCAGAATGTCCTGGAGGGAATAGACCATACATTGGTACATGCAGGGTCATAAGAAGTTATTTTCTTAAATCTTATTTTCAGATACATTAATTTCCAATTCACCTAAGGTTGTCATTTATATTACATGATGTTGTTCTAATTTCTATTGATCCTGTTGATAACAGCACTTGCTTACTGCTGAAATGGCACATGGACTTGCTTAAGAGCAAAGGGTTCAACCTTTCGTTCATTAATCAGGTAAACTTACTTAAGGGCCACCTTGAATTAACTGAATTAAAGTTTTACACAAGTCAACCCCGCAAAAAGAAACACATTTTAAAATCTTAATCAAATTAATTTCGGAAATTTCGTCAGATGAAATATTCCTCCCGACTGATGAATCCGAAGGCCCTGACACACATGGCAAGGCCACGCAAGCCGGCAGCAAATGAAGCCGTCTCAAGACCACTTCATCAAAAGTAGCTAAGCATCTGTTGACGCACACCGAAATGAGCGAAACCACGTCCTTGATAATAGGTGGCAGAATGGTAGAGAACCATGATGGTCACCCCGATTGCGACCAGCTGTCGTGACAAGTACTACTCCGTCGGGTGGAACCCTCTTCTTCAAGATCACTCGAGTGGTATGGCAATTTTCATATCAAGTCACGGAGGTACTCATCAGTAGATTGCGAGGCTGGTCATGCTTCTAGAATCTACTTCTTCGTGCGAAATCTTTCAGCAATTGCAGCATGGGGCGGAATTTTAATGGTGGTTTTCACACATAAAATGCAATTAAACGCGTAAGAATCTCAATGTCTCACAGTCATTTGCTAAATGAATGAGACTGAGGACGAGGAAAATTTCAAATCTCCATTAGATACTTTCAATACACCTGAAATTAAAACCGGCCGACCGAACCGACAGCATCGAAACGTCCGATCTCATTACCCCACTAGCAATGAAGTGCAACGGGCTGTTGGCATCTCAGCTGGCGGGATTGCCTCCGGTGCTTCTCGTCCCGAATGCTTAGCCCTTCTTCGCACAACACCTACTGGAAAGTTACGTAACGCGTTCTCAAGGAACCCGGCGTTTTCGATCTCGAACCATCCCAGCACGCCATGCGAGAGCATTAACCCAATTGTAATAAGAAAAACAAAGATGAAGCGTCAGGAGCGTCTACAAGCACGACCAACCAAGGCATGGACGCCACGAGCCTCATCAAGAACTGTTCGCAAAGGATCTTCTACATCAAAGCGTGACTAGCGGGACTACAAGCCGATAAAGTCTCAACTCGAATGATACCCTTATAAACACTGAAGTAGCGGCATTACTTAAAGCAGGGGTGTCAAACTCGATTCGGCTGAGGGCCGATGGGTTGGTTCAGGAGTGGATGGGGGCTCCACCGGCAAATCTC